ATCAAGGATTACGATTTAGTCATTGAGTATCACCCGGGCAAGGCTAACATCGTGGCCGATGCTTTGAGCAGAAAATCGTTAGCCGAGCTACAGCTTCAGTCTCCGTTAGAGCAGGAGATCCGTACAGCACAGAGAGATGATGAGTTTTGTCAGAAGACTCGAGAGTTAGTTCCTACAGGAAAGAGGCCCGAGTTTGCAATTCGCGATGACGGAGTCTTGTACTATCGTGAACGCCTAGTGGTGCCCCGCGGTGGAGTGAGGGATCGCTTGTTGCGCGAGGCTCACGGAACCGTATACACTATGCACCCGGGTAGTAACAAGATGTATCAGGATTTGAAGAAATCCTATTGGTGGCCAGCTATGAAAAAGGAAATCTCCGAGTTCACTGCGCGCTGTTTGACTTGTCAGCAAGTCAAGGCTGAGCACCAGGTTCCGACAGGGTTGCTGCACCCTCCTACCATTCCGGAATGGAAGTGGGAAAGGATCACTATGGACTTTGTGATTGGATTGCCACGATCTTCACGAAAGAATGACGCCATCTGGGTCATTGTTGACAGGTTGACAAAGTCCGCTCATTTTCTACCCGTCAGACGTGACTCTTCCTTGGACAAATTGGCAGACTTATACGTTAGAGAGATAGTTCGGTTGCACGGTGCACCAGTGTCAATCATATCTGATAGAGATCCCCGGTTCACTTCGATGTTCTGGAGAGGACTTCAGAAGGCTTTTGGCACAGCTTTGAACCTTAGTACGGCATTTCACCCTCAGACCGATGGCCAGTCTGAGAGGGTGATACAGATTGTTGAGGATATGATGCGAGCTTGTGTGATCGACTTTGGAGAAGATTGGGAGCGTTACTTGCCGTTGATGGAGTTTGCCTATAATAACAGTTACCAGGCGAGTATTCAGATGGCTCCGTATGAGGCACTCTACGGTAGAAAGTGCCGAACCCCGATTTGTTGGGCAGAGCTTAGCGAGCGTAAGCTCGAGGGACCAGATATTGTGCAGGAAACCGAGGAGAAGGTTCGTGTGATCAGAGACCGGCTCCGCACTGCTTCGGACAGACATAAATCTTATGCAGACTTGAAGAGACGAGACATAGAGTACAATGTTGGTGACATGGTATTTTTGAAGGTTTCACCTTCGAAGAAGGTCCTACGGTTCGGGAAGAAAGGGAAGCTTAGCCCTAGATTCATTGGACCCTACCACATTCTGGAGCGAATAAGACCTGTTGCTTACAGGTTAGAGTTGCCACCAGAGTTGAACAGAATTCACGACGTCTTTCATGTCTCCATGCTACGTAGATACCGTTCAGATCCGACTCATGTGTTGCCGACCAATGCTGTAACCCTCGACGAGAGTTTGTCTTACGAAGAAGAGCCAGTTAAGATCTTGGCGCGCGAAACTAAAGTACTAAGAAATAAGACGGTACCTTTGGTAAAGGTACTATGGCGTAACCATGCGGTGGAAGAAGCAACCTGGGAGACCGAAGAATCTATGCGAACTCAGTACCCTCATCTCTTCGACGACCAATGACTCAGATAATTTCGAGGACAAATTCTTTTTAAGGGGGGGAGAAATGTAACGCCCCGAAATCTGGCCTAAAAGAATTAATTAAATTGTTAGAGCAATTGATTACGAATTGGGCCTAAAAAGGGGTTAAAATTATAATTTGGATTCTAAGCCCAACTTTTATGTCATCTCGTAGGAAATATTTTTGTGATCGCGTCGGTTCAGACGGCTCGCGAATCGGAGTTACGGAGCTCATGTTATGACCATTTAATCAGGTATTTTGGGTCCGAAGCCCAATCCCTTTAGGAATGGGACCATTAAATAAACCTAAACCTAAACCACACAAACCTTATCTTCTTCGTTCGTCCTTCTTCTTCTTCTTCTCCCGTTCTTCTTCTTTCTTCTTCTTCTTCTTCTTCGCCGTCGACATGCAGCCGCCAGTCGCTGCCTAGCGTCGCCAAGCCTCCACCTCCTCGCCGCACCAGCCAGCTGCGGCCTTACCGTCGCCGGAAGCACGTCGCCTACAGCCAGGGTCGGCGCCGCCGCCGACGGTCTCCAATCGCCGCTGTTTCGCCTTCGCCGGAAGCCGCCGCTCCTCGCCGTCAAGTGCAGTGCCGCTGTTTCATCCTTTGCCGGAAGTCCTTCGCCTCCACTGCCCAGCGCCGCCGCTGCTTCCTTTGCCAGTAGCCGCCGCCATCATCGCCGTCGGGTGCAGCGCCGCCACGCCGAGCGCTGGACGTCTCCTCCTTTGCCGACGTCCTTCCTCGCCGTCGAATTGCAGCGCCGCCAGTCGCTGCTCATCGCCGTCGAGTTGCCGCTCCACCACTGTCGCCGGCGTCCGTCACCGTCGCCGCATCCAGCCGCTGCCTCGAGTTGATATCGCCGGGAGATTAACCTCCACGCCGGATTGATTGGTCGATTTCGTATTTTGACTCGATTTGACCCATTCGTTTCATTTCGTTGATTTGTCTTCCGTTCGAGCTATCAATTCGATTTCGGCGTAATCCAGGTCCGTACTATGAAGTTAATAGCATTTAGAATAGATTTAATGGTTTGGATCGTTATATGTGTTTATGCTATAATTTGGCTAAATTGGTTAATTGAGTTAAATTGATTATGTGAATTGAATTGTTGAGGTTTGTGAATTGACTGAACAGGTTTGACTTTGACTTGGGTTAGGTCACGTTTGACTTAAGCTTTGACTGGATATTCTGTCGACGTAGGTTTGACCAAATGGTTAAATCCAAAACTTTAATGAATTAGTTAAGTTAATTAATTAATTCTAATCGGTGATTAAGGTCAATTGGTTTATTGTGTCGATCATAGAAACTGGCCATTGTGAGGTTAAGACGTGCACACGAGGGTCTGTGATCTTGGGTTTGAGGCTACCTCCACCGAATTGAGGCTATCTTCGGTATTACGGATTGAGGCTATCTCTGTCATAGGCATTAAATGTTAAGTGGTTTGACTTTGGTGAAAGTCTAAATTGGTTTGACCGGTGGTAAAAGAGTTAATGAGAAACCCGTAACACCTAAATCGTTTTGAAAAGAAAGAAAATAAGTTGACTGTTGGTCAACCATCTAAAGAACCGAATGTAAAGTGGAATTGATTTTTATTAAAAGGAAAGACATATGCACGATCTCAATTGTTGAATTATTATGTTTATTCTTGTGCTACAATGGAGTGCCACTCAGCGTCAATGCTGAGCGGATAGCGTTGTTTTCCTTTTTGCTGTCCGTAGGTGATCAGACAGATGAACCTAGAGCCGATCCCAGAGGGCATTGAGGAGGAGATGTACGATGGCGTGGCTGCCTCTTTAATCTGTTGATTATGCTTTATTTAATTAACTTTAATGCTTATTACGTTTTCGGGCAATATCCCAAGTTGTTTGACTTTAAAAAGGCTTCCGCATTATTTTAAATTACTCCGATGGACTTTTATATGTATTGATAGAACGTTTGTTTAAAATTGTTTGAAAATGTTGTATATTCGGATACCAATCCAGTGGCACACCGGTCCGCTATCTCACGGGTTTGGGTTACGCGGGTTGGGGTGTTACATTTGTTATCAAAACCGACAATCAATTTAAGTCTCGGTTCTCAAAGAGTTAAAATAATTTTACAAAATCATAAAACGTTTTTTGTGCATCAAATAAAAACTCTTGAAAGCTTCATTGTATTAAAATCCCTGGTCCTTGCCCAAACCAAAAACCACCTCGATCGGCGCTCGGTGTTCGGCATCGGCATACGACATTCAAAGTTCGGCGTTCGGTTTTCGGCGTCCAAACCAACTCGGTGGTTTTCAATATTTTAAACCTCTTTTTTACCTTTGGGCATATTTAAAAGGTTCCCAAATAATTATTTTGTGAAAACCATTTTTGTATCTTAGTCAATCGGTCTAACACGTGAAAAACGGTCAAAACCGTACACACATATAAACGACCTTGAAGACTTGGTTTTTATAAAACAAGTCTTGGTTTCACTATTTTATACCATATACATTGTTTTTCAAACTTGGTTTTTACTTTTAGGAACACTTCGTTTTTGGACCTCAGTTTTTCAAAACGGGTTTTCGCCGGTTGGGTCTTAGCTGGGTGATAATCGATTATCACCTTAGTGACAATCGACTATCAGCCTCTGCAGCTTTTGAACTTAAAGTTCTGAAGCACGCAATAATCGATTGTCACTTTTGCAACAATCGATTATCACAGTCTGCAGCCAAAACCCAGGAACTTCTAAGAGGACCAATAGTCGATTATCACTTGTTGACAATCAATTGTCTGGGTTACCATTATCCTCCAACGGATGTATTTTTAAATTTTTGGACAGGGAATCTTTTGATAATCGATTATCAAGGCTAGACAATCGACTATCACCCTGTGACAATCGATTATCATCATGTGTCTCTGAAAAGTTTGTCTTCACCGTGTTGGAAAGTTTAGCAACAGGTTTATCCCATTTTAGGCTATAAAATGGCACCCAAATCCTCTCATTTTACACACAATTCTTCAACATTTCAATACTCTTTCATTGCATAAGCATTCCTATTTTTTCTTAGCTATTTGAGAGCCAAATCTTGAAGAAATTGTCGTGTTCTTGAGCCTTTACTAGTTCACTCATATTTACTCTTTGTGAGAGTTTGATTCCTGAGTGTTTAAGTGTTTCTATACACTTTAAGGGAGGTTGTTCCCTTGTTGTAAACTCGAAGGAAGTCTTTCATTCCCTCGTGAGAAGTCTTGGAGTGCGGTATCTCCGAGCAAAGGCGTTGAGGCTCGTGTGACTCGAGTTCTCAAGTTGTATCGGTTTGTTGAGCACCTTTAAGCTTAACGGAGTTAGTGTAACTCGAGAGAGTCTCTCGAAAGGCTGGATTAGCCACACGTTGTGGTGAACCAGGATAAAATTCGGTGTGCTCCTTCCTTACTCTCTTTACTTTTTTGCTCTCGTTTTTAATTTCCTGTGATTTTGCTTTAAACGCTATCCACCCCCGCTCTAGCGTTGGGCCTTTATTATAACAATTGGTATCGGAGCCATACTCTGTGAAAGACATAACCGTTTGAGAGAAACGATCAATGGCTTCTACTCAAATCTCATACGCAGGTTTAGGTGAAGGGCAATCCACCACGAGGCCTCCGTTGTTTGACGGAATGAACTACACCTACTGGAAGGAGAGGATGAGGATTTACATCCAATCCACCAACTTTCTCCTGTGGAGGATTATCAAAAATGGCGAAGATGTGCCCATGAAGAAGGTCGGGGAAACCAACGTCCCTAAGAGCGAGAATGAGTACGATGCGCAAGACATCAAGAAAGTGGAGAACAATGCAAAGGCCATCAACATCATCTATTGTGCCGTAAACCCGGATGACTACCCGAAGATTTCTTGTTGTTCCACCACCAAGGAAATGTGGGACAAACTAGAAATCACCTATGAAGGTACGGATCAAGTCCGAGAAGCTAAAATCAATTTTCTAACCCATGAATATGAATTATTTCGTATGAAGGAGAATGAGAAAATCGATGAGATGTTTGAACGATTCTCCAAAATCGTCAATGATCTCCATGCTCTCAAGAAGACGTACACGGACAAGGAGCTTCTAAGAAAAATCCTGCAAAGTCTCACACCGGAATGGCGCTCCAAAGCCGATGCCATCCAAAAGTCCATCGGCGTCACCAACGTCACCATCGACGGGCTTAGAGGTAACCTCAAAACATATGAGTGTACCATCCTTCTCCCCTCTTTAGGTGAACAAAAGAAGAAGTGGATTGCACTCAAGGCTTCCTCAAGCCAAGAACCCGCCAGGGAGGAATCAAGCGATGAAGACAACGAGTTCGGGCTCGTTATCAAGAAATTCCACAAGTTCATGCATAAGGATTATGAACGAAAGGGCAAGAAGCATGGAGGTGTTGGGAAACGAGGCTTGGATGACGCAGCGGAAAACAAAAATTCATAGTCCAAAACTCGATTCCACCCAAGAACAACTTACGTAAATTACTAGCTATAGTAAGAAATTTACCTGAATGGTGAAAAACGGAGAACGGTGAAACGGTCGGGGATGGTTTTGAGGAGATGAACGTAGCGCCAAACGTATGAAACCTCCAACGTATCCACACGAACTTGCTCCGGAGTCCTAAATTAAACTTGTGCTAGCAAGTTTAATTTAGGATAGTTGTAACACCCCAATTCGTATAACCCGGAATTATAGGAATTAAGTTGAAAGGGGAGAAATTTTTTTAAAACTTTTCCAAATCATTAAATAGAATTCATAAAACAAAAATTCAAATACAAAATACGAAATTCGGATCGATCCTTTACAATAATGTCGGAGATAGCCGAAGACTTAAAATAATACAAGTACAATGATGTGGGTCAAACCCAAAACTTCAAATGCAAAACTTGGGAAAATTATGCATGTCAACCTGCCATCCTATCATCTCTTCGTCCTCCGGGCGGTTCACATAGCCTGTGCTTCAACCTACGTGTAGACAAAAGACTACACGCTCAGCATAAAGCTGAGTGGTACGATAACGCGAGAGATCGATAACATATTTATATTTAAATACCATGCATCACATTGGCCACATAATTTTCATACTTGTATTGTTGATATCACATGATACAAGAGACACATATACATATCATGGAGATTCTTTTTAGGATATTGTCCAAACAAAAATACCTTGGCCTTGTCGTCGACGATGTTGGATATGAAGTATGGTACGTTTTGCAATACCATACACAATTTGATAATTGTTATTGTATAATTACTTACAAGCGATGCAATGTCAAATGATTCATGATGCATGAGTTAGACTGCGCAGGGACCCCCTGCCCTTCGGTGATCATCCCTACGCGGTAGATGAGCCGAGGAACGCCTTAGTCATCCCGATGGAGACTAGAAATGTGGGTGATAGCTGAAGCCTAGCTACCATGTACGTACACAAGCCCTCGTGATGAAAACCCGTTGGATCCCGCAGGCTCTTGGACGGGCCCGCGGAAGAGGCGCACTATGCCTGACCTCTTATCGCGGTATGCAAAGTATGCCATGATCCTACACATGCGTCTAGGATATGCATGATGATATGAATGCATTGCTTGATGAATGGGGTTATGTTCAACGCACACATATAAGTTTAATTCTATATAATAACGATTTGTTCAATATGATGGTCTTAGGTTCAGAACTGGCTGATAATCGATTATCCATTGTTGATAATCGATTATCATGCAGTGCAGCTTCTGTTCCCAAAGTTCTGCAGACTGTTATAGTCGATTGTCACTTTATGACAATCAATTGTCTTATTAGTTTGTCCAAGAAACCCAAGTTCAGAGAGGCCTGACTTATGATCCCGAAGGCTTATATTGAAAGCTAAGTCTCGGTTTTTAATCCATATTTCAACTGTTGATTCTTGTCTTGAAAGCATTTTGATTTTGGCTCTTTCTAAAAATTCAGCAGCCCCTGATAATCGATTATCACTTGTTGATAATCAATTATCAAACTTCTACAGCCTCTGATAATCGATTATCACCAAGTGATAATCGACTATCAAATGTTCCGCAGCCTCTGATAATCGATTGTCACTTTGTGATAATCGACTGTCAGAGTTCAGCAGCACCTGATAGTAGATTATCAGAATTTGACAGTCTACTATCACAGTACTCGGGTTCTACTTTGGTCTGTCGAATTACGTTCAACCTTTTGAAAATTTTAATGAACATGTAAGATTTACAAATATATCTAAATATTGAGTTCCTCTAGATTCCAAATGGATCTCTAGATGATTTCTTTTTCAACGAGTTCCATATCATATAGCCTTATAGCGAGAAAACTACGATCATACGGTTTCAACGAAGGTTATGCCAAGTAGTAGACCATATAAAGTAACAAATACACATTCGTTCATACATGTACAACACATATATTTGGGCATGGATTTACGTGTTCATGTAATCGTCCAAATGTGGTCAGGGGTTTTCCAACTTGTTCATTCACATATCAAATTTATACATTTTTACATATCTAGTGATGCTATTGTGATATTCATTGGTATTTCCTCAAGCCTTAACATATTCTTCGTAATCTAACCGTCTTCCACTTTTATTTCACAATCCTTATTGTTTACATTGGAGTCAAACATCCATTTAGCCTTGTATAATCATTCAATTTCATAACGGTTGGAATCCTCGTTGATCTCTACGCAACGTTAATAGATCGAGAATATATCATGATATGAATCTATATACAAATAATCATATAAACAACAAACGTATTCGCATATAAATATATTAAAGATTCCTCCGTTATATCTAGGGTGTACATACCTCGAATATGACACAACGTTAGAAGGGACCGAACGAATCAACGGCGTCAACAAACGGTCATTAAACCGTTGACCTTCCGACTTCCAAACGGCTTCTTGATTTCCGTTTCTTCTCGCGAATATGTTATAGGGGTTTTGGAGAGTTGGCACACATTCAACGAGTAGCGGATTGGATGAGACGGAACGAGAAGCGAGGCGGAAGTTGCAAACCTCGCATTTTCCGTCGCCACTGGACCAGTTTTGGTAAAACGGCCGTATCGCCTTCATTACGCGTTCGATTGACGAACCGTTTGCGCCTGTGGTTCACCGACTCGCAGGGCTACAACTTTGGTCAAGAAACCATGACGAAACAGTGAGTTTAAGATGGTCGAAATTCTGCCCAAAGTGGGCTGACAAGATTTTGCTTCCTAAAATCAGCACCTCCTCCTTCTTCTTCTCGTCCTTCTCCTCCTGGGATTCTACTGGCCAGCGTCCATAAGGAAGAGGGAGAGTGAGGGAGTTGGATGGTTGGTGGGTTACAAAATGATGGAGGAATGGAAGGAGAGGAGTGGATTTATAATGATGGGGAGTAATGGTGGTGATGTGGAGAATTAAAATGTGAATGAATGTGGAAAGATGGGAGGGGAAGTGGCGTGTGGTTTTAAATAGAGAGTTACCTTCCTAAATTCCACTCCATTGTGTAAAGTCTGACCTGAACGGTACACGGTTTTCCCCCAAACTTGCCCGAATTGAGAACTGATTGCGTTTTCGGAAATAACCAGTCAAAACTAAATTTATGATATCTTGAAAATAGTTTTTCTAAGAACTTTATTTTCAAACTTTCAAGTCAATCCCAATCATTAATTAATTAATTTAATTAATTAATGTTGAGATGTCTGTTATTAAAATACATTAACTTGGAAGTCCATTTAATGATATCGAAATTTCAATAGTTATTATTTAAAATAATGAGTCTCAATAAATAAATAATATTTATTTATTTAAAATATTGGCTAAATATTAGGCCGGTTTGCAAGGCGTTACAATAGTAAAAACTATAATAATACTACTTTGGGAGTAATAAATATATTGTAAAAATATTTATCTTATAAATATTTTGTGTATATTTCTAACACTTTAGAAAAATAACTTTGAACACAAAATAAAATTTTTCTTCTCTCTAAAATGAGATGGCCGAAATTTTGGTGTGTGTATTAAAAATCAAGACCTCATTTTATAATAAAGTATATTTAGGAAATTGCTAGGAAATTAATGTTAAGCATAAGTCCATGTATATGTCTTAACACCATGTGTAAATGTTTAATATCTTAGCTACCAAACAAAATAGAATCCCTACATCAAATAATAATCAAATATAAAATCAAAATGGTCTTGAATTTTTCCTCTTAAAATTTGCACTCCCATTAAAAATTGTACATCATATTTTATTTTGACATCAATAATTATCATATAATTAAAATGATGAAAATAAAATAATATATATATATATATATATATATACATTTTCGGCGCTATATATATAATAAAATTTATTTTGTCAAAATATAATTATCATATAATTAAAATGACACAAACAAAATATAATTTTAAAATACATATGCATTTTCGAAATACATATTTATGTATAAAATTATCACAATTATATATTTAATATTACTCCCACTAGTGTAGTATACTACTCCCTTACAAGTCCTAAGTGTGTGACCCTTTAGGTATCCATAACACTGGCAATGATATTAATATAAATTAATACCATAGATAATAAGCGGTATCTAGCAACACATTATTACCCCCAGACTATGAAAAAGACGTTCATCTCATCAATACCTTCTACGACACAAGATGTTCTATAACTATTATCCTTCTGTCCTAAATGTCATGATGTAACACAAGGCATGGGATGTGTATCCTTATATAGTTAAATCAGCTGTTACTGAATCTCAAGTAGACTGGTAGGGATCAGATATTTACTAGTCTCTGAATAGTGACATATCTGGGCATGGCCATGTACTTTCCCAAGTCCTACTATTCAGTGTGGACAGATCCTATATCTGTTATTCACATCTCTAAATACGCTTAGCGCCATACCCAACGCATAACTGTACGTCTACCAGTATTTCAGATAGCATTAGTTATGAATCAAAGCATACGGCCCCACATATCAGAGAATGTAATAACTTCAAGTCTTAGGATAGTTATAGCAAGGTCGAATTGAGAATACCGATAAACACATTACTGTAGATCCATGCAGTATTCTTAAGATGGGTCAATCTAGTCACATATTATCGATATAATATGCACCTACGTACCTACATATTAAGATATCACAATAACTATAGTCTATGAGACGCAACTATCTCATCTCGTACGTACTAGTCTTGATACGTTATGACGTCCGTATTATCATAAAGTGCGACTAGGGATATTCTAGACATAGCCTTCGTCAAGAAGTAACAGTCTCATAATCAGAACATCGTAGTCCTCATCTATGTTACTAAATCTCTATCGTCCATGGACTGAAGCTATGTTATGTTACACGAGATATAAAACATACTTCAAGGCCTTTCATTCATGATAAAGTGTACAGTTACATAGGTATTTGATTGCCTCTAGGGCACCTAAATACAATAGGAGGTCCACCAAAGTGCTATGGGTGTGGAGAACCGTTCAAGAACGAGAAGGAGAAGAAGCCGTTCAAGAAGCACCGAGCTTACATCTCTTGGGGAGGTGATTCCGGCGACGAGTCATCGGAAGGCGAAGAAAATGAAAGAGCCAATCTTTGTCTCATGGAACACGAGGAACCACCGGAAGAGGTATGCACCACTTCTAAAGATTCCTATTCTTTTGATGATGTACAAAAAGCTTTTAATGAACTTTATGATGAATATGTCAACGCTTCTAAAATTAACAAGGAGCGCCGACAAACCGGAAAGTTCAAAATGTAGTTCTTGTACATCACTTAAGCAACAAGTTCCAAAACTTGAAGGAACCTTGAATTAATTTGGTGTTTCTCATAAAAACCTTAATGATGTTCTTGACAATTTGCAACTTACTAAACATGGCTTAGGGTTTGAGAATGAAACTAATAATAATAAGGAAAAAGTTGAGCAACCACCTAAATAACCTAAGGCTCAACCTAAGAAAACTAAAATGAGCAATAATAGACAACCTACAACAACTAGAAACACTAGACCTGTAATGCCCCAAAACATACCCTAATATTTATTGAATTAAATATTCAATTAAATAAATTTGTTTTGATTAAAAATAAATTGTTGTTGGGCCTTGGGCCAAAATAGAATATGTTTTGATATCCAATATCATAATCCGGATAAATCTCATAGAGAAAAATCCAATATGTTGACTTACTGTGTGACCTTGATTGAGAACCTGAGTACAGACCCAAATCAAGAATAAATGAAGAATTTTTTTGTGATGTAAACTTTGAAATGATTTATTGAAATAAATAATATGAATGAAATGTAAAAACCTTTCTGAATAAAGGTCAACAAAATCAATTTTGACTCTGTCAAAGTCAACCACCTAAAAATATGATGTCGGAAAAAGTATTACAAATAAATATGAAAATTATATTGTTCGATAGAGTTTAATTATACGATCGCAACGGTGCAAACGGATTTCAATTCGGAGAAAGTTGGAGCAAAAAGTGTTCCCCGACTGGGACCAAATTAGTGCCAATCAGGGACTTACATTTAAAATCTGGAGGAACCGCAGCCCCCTCCACTGAGACGCCGAAACAGGAACGGATACATCATCACCTTGGCCTCTTCCTCCATTCTTTTACTATATAAGAAACCCAACTTCACCATTTCTTCACCATTCTTCATCAAATTCATTCTGAGAGATAGCCTTGAGTGTGGAGAACGCAGTGGTGCTGTCAATTTGGTGTGAGGTTGCCGGAGTTAAGAGCTATTGTCACCGTAAGTTTCGCCGGAAAATCTTCAAAACCTCCATTACGCTTCGAGGTAAGCCCGTAGATATATCTAATGACTAGAATGTTTGTATAGATCGTTTCTACGTTCAAAAACGGTCGTTTGGTTGAGGTTTGTGTTTGACATGCTTGAAGAACCAAGAATCATAAACCATGAAATTAATGTTAAAACTATGAATTAATGATACCAAAATGACCTATGAACCTTGGAGAACATCTCTATATAGTTTCGTTGAAGTTCGATAACTAAAAACGGTATTTCCAAAATTAGACCCGAACGAAGAAGAAGATGAACAGTGGCTAAAACACCACTGTCTGGATCGATCCATGGGCTTGGATCGATCCCCTGGGAGTGATTTTTCACATCATGGATCGATCCAGAGGGCTAGATCGATCCCCCGAATTTCTGATCCGAAAATTTGTTTGAAAATGTTATTTTTGAGCTCTAAAATCCTATTTTTGATACCAATTGATTATGATCATTATAAAAATGATTTTTCACATTAAAAGAAATATTTTTAACAAAAAACATATTATGTGATGCATGACGGTAAGTTAGGGTGTTAACACCCGAAGCTAGGCCGCTAATTGTTATTGATTATTATGTTGATTGATGATTATGGTAATGATTATTGATTGATAATTATGATGATTAAATCTTAATAAATATTCTGATTAAAAATGATAATTGTGAATGATTAAATCATAATGAATATATTGATGATTGTGAAAATANGGTATCTAGAAGACCTCTAAGATATACCCATATTAATGTTGATTTGAAAGGTATCTAGAAGAACTCTAAGATATACCTATATAAGTTAGGCCTTGCGGGTATGAACCCCGGTGGCTAGGGTTAAAACGTACGTACGGGATCCAAGAACCAAACTTGAGTACCTACTCGTTTCGGGGTACCACCCACCCAACAGTGAACACTACGCTGTCGGTTTTCGGTTGGCCTTAAGTGAAGGTAAGTTTAAGATTTTCAAAACCCTTTTATCTTAAACTAGGCCTAGCTTAAGGATTATTTAGGAATATTTTATACTGGAATATAGTTTAATTATTTAAACTAGTGATTGGCCTTAGGCTAAGAATAGTTTAAGGATATTGTTGAATGTTGAATATTGAATATTGAATATGAATAAATATTGAATGATGAATATTGAATTGAATATTGCAATTATTATGAATGACTAGTGAACATTGAATGTGAATATAAATGTTGAATAATGAATAATTTTAAATAACTATTGATTATCTGAACTGAATATTATGTGCATGATATCAAATGATTTGATTGGGAATTTAGATTAAGTTTATATGGATGTTCGACGCATTAGATATGCTTACTCAGCTTCAACGCTGAGCGTGTAGTATGTTTTATTTGCTACACGCAGGTTAATAGAAAGAATGAAGTGACGTGATCCTGGAGGCAGACAGAGGCGAGATTGTCGGAATGGATGTGATGGTTCTGAACTGAAGAACATAAATAAATTATGTTGTAATTATGATTTGGTAAAGCTTCCCCAATATTGAAAACTCCGTACTATTTATGATATGAAAAATATTGTTGTGATAAATAAAAGTGTTTGAAATGTTTTAAATTTTTACGATTACCAAGTTAATACTTTAGTCTGAAAGGGGCTGTAGACCTGGACGGATTAGGGTGTTACAAGACCACCTAGAAAGAACACTAAATTGAACAATGGTCAAGTTAGAGAACCTAGAAACAATTTTACAAATATGCATAAACAAAACTTTTCTCAAACTAGGATCAATCAATATAGAAAACCTAGTAACTATTATCAACCTAGGAGAATGCATAATCCAAATGTTATTTGTCATTATTGCAATAGGGTAGGACATATAGCCCCGGTATGTTTCACTAGGCATAGACATTGCACTCAAAACCAATCACACTACCAACGTGCACCTAACGCCCAAGGACCCAAAAGGAATTGGGTACCTAAATCTTTTTAAATTGATTTGTAGGTGTGCTTGAAGGCATCAAGTGTACTTTGGTACCTTGATAGCGGATGCTCCAAGCACATGACCGGAGATGCATTCCAGTTCTTGCAAATCAAACCAACTAAAGGAGGAAATGTTGTCTTTGGCGATAATAGCAAAGGCAAGATAATCGGCATTGGTTCGGTTGGTAAAAACGAATCCTCCTCTATTGATAATGTGTTGTTGGTGAAGGGTCTTAAACACAATCTCTTGAGCATAAGTCAATTGTGTGACAAGGGAAATCGTGTGACCTTCGATTCTAAATCATGCACGGTAGAACGTCTTAGTGACAATAAGATGATTCTTCGTGGTGATAGAATCGATAATATTTATATGGTTAACTTAGATGAATCTCCCTCCGACTTTGCCAAATGTCTCATGAGTAAGGAGGACGATATGTGGCTATGGCATCGTAGAGTAGCTCATGTCAACATGAACCTTTTGAATAAATTGGTTTCACAAGACTTAGTAGTTGGCCTTCCAAAACTCAAGTTTGAGAAGTATACCATTTGTGATTTATGTCAAAAGGGAAAGCAAGTAAGGGCCACATTTAAATCGAAAAATGTTGTGTCTACAACAAGGCCCCTACAACTTTTACACATGGATCTCTTTGGACCATCAAGAACAAAATGTTTTGGGGGAAACTATTTCGCCTTTGTGATTGTTGATGACTACTCTCGATTCACGTGGACATTATTTCTAACTCACAAAAGTGAGGCATTTCATGTTTTCAAAACTTTTCTAAAAAAGGTTCAAAATGAAAAAGGCCTAACCACCGTAGCCATACGAAGCGATCATGGTGGAGAGTTTGAATGAGATCTCTTTACCAAGTTTTGTGACGAACTAGGCATCGAGCATAACTTCTCCGCTCCACGTACACCACAACTATGCTTGATGAGGCAAAAATTCCTAAGTATTTTTAGGTAGATGCCGTGAGTACCGCGAGCTACGTGTTAAACCGAGCCGTCACCAGCTTGATACTCATGAAAACCCCATATGAATTATACAAAGGAAGAAAGCCAAACCTCTCTCATCTTCGAGTCTTTGGTTGCAAATGTTTTGTTCACAATAACGGAAAAGATAACTTGGGTAAATTCGATGCAAAGTCGGATGAAGGAATTTTTCTTGGTTATTCATTGTGTAGTAAGGCTTATAGAGTCTTCAAAAAATGCAACTTAACCGTTTAGGAGTCTCCTCATGTTGTTTTTGTAGAAAATGATACTCGCTTGGCAAGAAAGGTTTCTTGTGATGATCTTGTAGATTCGTTGGAGAACATCTATCTCAACGACAATGACGAAGGAAACAATTCAAAGGAAGGTCAAGACGAAGAAGTAGAGCCACCTATGAACGAGGAACAACCACAAGAGGAAGAGACACCAATGCCAAGGGCATGGAGAACCTCAAACGACCATCCTCTTGACAAGGTAATCGGTGACATCAACCGAAAGGTAAGTACTCGTAGCTCTCTTAGTGACACCGTAGGTCACATGGCTTTTATTTCACAAATTGAACCTACAACCATTTCGGAAGCAATTGATGATGAACATTGAACCTTGGCAATGCAAGAGGAGCTTAACCAATTCAAATGAAATGACGTTTGGGAGTTGGTGCCAAGACCCGATGATCATACCATAATTGGTACGAAATGGGTGTTCCGTAACAAACTCGATGAAAATGGGATAATCACTAGAAACAAAGCTAGGCTCGTAGCTAAAGGCTACAATCAAGAAGAAGGCATTGATTTTGAAGAAACTTATGCACCGGTAGCACGTTTAGAAGCTATTCGTTTATTACTCGCTTTTGCTTCATCTATGGATTTTAAACTATACCAAATTGATGTTAAGAGTGCCTTCCTCAATGGTTTTATTCAAGAGGAAGTGTATGTTAATCAACCCCCAGGCTTTGAGGATTTTGAGCTCCCGGAGTATGTCTATAAACTAAAGAAAGCACTCTACGGTCTTAAACAAGCACCTCATGCTTGGTATGAACGTTTGAGCAAATTACTTTTGGACAACAGGTTCAAAAGGGGGAAGGTTGACACTACACTTTTTATCAAGAGTAAAAACGACAACATCCTATTGGTGTAAGTTTACGTAGATGACATTATATTCGGTGGTTCTAACGAATCTTTGTGCAAGGAATTTTCAATCTTAATGACAAATGAATTTCAGATGTCCATGATGGGGGAACTCAATTTCTTCTTGGGTTTACAAGTCAAACAAATGAGAGAAGGAACCTTCATTTGTCAATCAAAGTTTTGCAAGGAGCTCCTAAAAAGATTTGAAATGGATGGCTCCAAGGCAATGGCTACCCCGATGAGCACCTGTAACACCCTAATCCGTCCAGGTCTACAGCCCCTTTCGGACTAAAGTATTGATTTGGTAATCGTGATAATTTAAAACATTTCAAACATTTTCATTATAAATTAATAATATTCCATACATAACTGTAGAGAAATACGGAGTGTTTAAATAAAATGCGGAAGAGACTTTAAAATATGTCTCATAACAACATAATTATCTATTTCATTTAATAATCCACCACGACTGTCTCGCCCCTTCCGCTTCCAGGAGTCTGCTAGTCATTCATTCTGTTTACCTGCATGTAGCAAATAAAACACACTACACGCTCAGCGGTGAAGCTGAGTAAGCATATCTAAAGTATCGAACATCCACATAAATTGAATCTCGATTTATAATCAACCATTTGATATCATGCACATAATATATAATTCAAACATTCATGATATTCTCAATATTTTATTCCAAGTCATTTGATATTCAATATCTCAACAATGCTCTTAAATTATTGTTAATCTAAGGCCACATCATTTTATAATCAGCTGATTTAATCAATAATCATTCCAATTAGTAGATTTATCATTTATAATTACCCATAATAATTATTCAACATAATGATCATTCGACATAACGTTTAATAACAAATAGCGGCCTAGTCTCGAGTGTTAACACCGAAACTTACCGTCATGCATCACATAATGTTTTATATGCTAAAAACATCATTTTTATGGTACAAAGTCATATTTATAATGTTCATAAAAAATAGGATTTTAGAATTCAAAAGGATATTTTCCAGAATATTTTGTTTTTGAGCAGAATCTGGATTTGAGGAAAAATCGATTACTGCATTTAAAATAATCGATTTAATTAATAAAAATCGATTTCATTAATTTAAATAATCAATTAATGGAATAAAATCGATTTTTGTAAAATAAATAATCAATTATATACCTTTTTAATCTATTATTGGAACGGAAAAATCGATTAACTGTACTGACTTCGAATCCTTGATCTGAATAAATTTCTAATCGATTCTTAGTAAGTAAATAATTGATTTTCGGTCACTGTTCATCATCATCTTCCTCTGGTCAGTTTTAAGATTATCATTTTTTTATCACCAAACTTCAATTAAACTATATAAAAATGTTCTCCAATGTTCACAAATCATTTTAGAGTCATTAATTCGTAATTTTAACATCAAATTTAAGGTTTATGATTCTTAGTTCTTCAAACATGTCAAACACAAAACTCAACCAAATGACAAATTATGAACGTAAAAACGACCTATATGAACATTCTAGTCATTAGATATATCTACGGGCTTACTTTGAAGCTTAACGAAGATTCCGGCGAAAGAACGGCGAAACGTCCGGCGACTTCACACCAAAATGGCAGCACTACAACCCTCCTCACACTCTCAGGGACACTTAGGAAGAAAAATGGAGTAGAATGGTGAAGAATGGAGCTTGAAAGGCCTTCTTAGATAGTGAAGGGAAGGAGAAGAAGCCAAGGGATTGGGCTTCCTGATTGCCTTTGCGTTATTGGAATCAGCGGTGATTGCACAGGGCGCCGTTTGGTGTGTAGTCCCTGATTGGGACGAATATTTGGTCCCAGTCGGGGTACACTTTTTGGTCCAATTTTCTCTAAATTGAAATCTGATTGAACCATTGGGGTCAGACAGTCAAACTCTACATAATGATATAATTTTCATTATTATATTGACAAACTTTATAAATCACTTATTTTTTTTGGGTCCTTCTCAGTAATTAATTAATTGTCAATTAATTAATTCTGATAGGCCTAATTTCGGGGCGTTACATTTTTCTCCCCCTTAAAATAATTTTGTCCTCGAAATTACCTGAGTCATTTATCTAAGAGGTTCGGATATTGTGTTCTCATTGACTCTTCAGTATCCCATGTTGCTTCTTCAGTCGAATGATTCCTCCATAGTACTTTGACTAGAGGTACGGATTTGTTTCTCAATTGTTTAACCTCTCGTGCTAATATTTGTACAGGTTCCTCCTCATAAGTCAATTGTTCGTCAAGAGTTACAATTCCATTAGTCAAGATATGCGATGGATCGGAACGGTATCTTTTCAACATTGATACATGGAATACGTCATGGATCTTGTTCAGTTTTGGTGGAAGTTCTAACCGATATGCTACTGGACCCACACATTCAATGATTCGATAGGGTCCAATATATCTCGGACTTAGTTTTCCCTTCCTACCGAACCGTAACACTTTCTTCCATGGTGAAACTTTCAGAAACACCTTGTCATCAACATTCTATTCGATCTCACAACGTTTCAAGTCAGCATATGATTTCTGACAATCGGAAGCCACTTGCAGTCTTTCTCTGATTAGACGAACCTTTTCTTCAGTTTCGCGGATGAGATCAGGTCCTACAACGTCTCTCATACAAGGCTTCGTACGAGGCCATTTGGATACTCGCTTGATAACTGTTGTTATAAGCGAACTCCATTAGCGGTATGTATTGTTCCCAGTTGTTTCCAAAATCAATTACACATGCTCTCATCATATCTTCAAGAATTTGAATTGTCCTTTCAGATTGTCCGTCAGTTTGAGGATGAAATGCCGTACTAAAGTTAAGTTTAGTACCTAAGGTTTTTTGCAAACTCTTCCAGAATTGCGACGTGAATCGCGGATCACGATCAGAAATGATAGACAAAGGTACACCATGTAATCTCACAATTTCACGGATGTACAATTCTGCCAATTTCTTCAAAGACATATCACATCGAATTGGGATAAAATGAGATGACTTGGTTAATCGGTCAACGATTACCTAAACAGCATCATTCTTCTTGGCTGATAATGGAAGTCCGATCACGAAGTCCATCATAATTCGTTCCCACTTCCATTCAGGGACAGCAGGTGGATGTAACAACCCACTTGGCACTTGGTGTTCAGCCTTGACTTGTTGACACGTCAGACATCGTGTTGTAAATTCAGAAATTTCCCGCTTCATTGTGGGCCACCAATATGTCTTCTTTAGATCTTGGAACATTTTATTACTGCCAGGATGCATGGTATATGTGGTTTCTGTTAGAATGAAGGCCCAACGCTAGAGGGGGGTGAATAGCGTTTAAAACAAAATCGCAGGAAATTAAAACGAGAGCGTTAAAGTAAAGAGCGTAAGGAAGGAGCACACCGGATTTTATCCTGGTTCACCACAACGTGTGGCTAATCCACCCCCCCGAGAGACTCTCTCGAGCTACACTAACTTCGTTAAGCTTAAGGGTGCTTAACAAACTGATACAACTTGAGAACCCGAGTCACACGAGCCTCAACACCTTTGCTCGGAGATACCGCACTCCAAGACTTCTCACGAAGGAACAAGGGACTTCCTTCGAGTTTATAACAAGGGAACAAACTCCCTTAAAGTGTATGAAAACACTTAAACACTCAGGAATAAAACTCTCACAAAGAGTAGATATGAGTGAACTAGTAAACGCTCAAGAACACGACAATTTCTTCAAGAATTGGCTCTCAAATAGCTAAGAAAAATGGGAATGCTTATGCAATGAAGGAGTATTGAAATGTTGAAGAATTGTGTGTTAAAAGAGAGGATTTGGGTGCCATTTTATAGCCCAAAA